CCATAAAGGATATTCTACATTTTCAAACAGTGCTTTTTTTTTTCTTTCCTGACTTTCACAGCACTTTCACAGAATCATACTTAATTTATTTCACTGCATATATGTTGAACATCCTTACATTTCATTGCTTGTTACTCCCATTTTCAGATTAACTTCATGCACACTCTTTAAATGCTGTAAAAAAAATTCTGTCAGAATAAATGGTTGGGGTTTTTTAGCTAAATACTTAAAAACATATTATTCTTCATCTGGGCATGCGTGTAACACTTAGGTTGCTTTATTTATCCTGGGTATTCTGGGGATACAAGGTCTTTGTTGGTCTAAGTGTCTAAGGAAGCATATGTTGTAATTGTTTGACATCTTGAACATGAATTAGGTGGGTGGCTGTAAGCAAGCTAACTTGAGTTCTCAGAAGATCAGCTTTTTGATGTGTGTCAGCTTACTTTCTCATCCGAAGTAATGTATGTGAAAGAATATCTGAAATATGCATGGGATAGTGAATATAAATATACTGTTAAATCAGTAGGGAATGTGACTCTCCACATGATTTCAGCAGCTTTAGAATTCCACTATGCAAAAAAACTGGGATCGGTATGGGGGACACTGCAGCACTGGCTGGCTTCCTCTGCCATCCCCTCATGGCAATGGTCAGATGGTCAGACCAGGGTAGGAGGGTTAAGCAGGCAAAAGCATAAAGTGGCTCTTTCTGACTTTCCTTGTTTACCGTGTTTTAACTGAGAGGGTTCAGAGATGACGGCCCCAGGAGGATTTTTAGCTTGCAGGCGGTAGTCTTCTGTTGAAATACTGCAGGGTACCTGGATTTTGCCTTCGAAGCCTGCCAACGCCAGCTTGCTTATGGCAGAAAGTGCCAGTGGAATGTCGGCCATCTCTCTGTCCTAACTGGCGGGGCTTGGAAGACCAGTTCAGGGCTTAGGCGCTACAAAGTGGACTTGATTTGGGATTAATAAATTAAAGGGCCAAATGTTCAAAGGGCTGGCTTCCAATTTTACAATGGTAGTTGAGTACAAGTACAAAATTATGGGCAGAAAATCACAGATAATTTTTTTCCAAGCTGACCTTTCTGAAAAGGAGCCAGCAATTATCTGGATTTGGGCACTGTTTCAGCAATGTTTTTTAGGTGTTGTTAATGTAATATTTTCATTATATTTCTGCTGGACTATTGATTAGCTATTCAATTATTTAAGAAAAAGAAATTTAGTATTGTAATGAATAATAGCTTTTTGGATTGGTACTTGTGCTTTGCACAACTGTGCATGGATATTGAGTTTGTGCAAGTACTGATAAATTAAGAATGTCTGCATTTCTTTGTGTGTTGATGTTGATCTCATACAGTGGATGGATAATGCCAAATGTGTTTATGCATTGAAATTCAGTATCTAATCACTTTTCAGTTCGTAATATGCTTTTTCTTAAAGCACCTGGCAGGTTGGTCAGTCCTCTTCCCCTGTTTCCTGTGGAAGAAACTGAGACCTTGAGAATTTGTATGTCTTAAAATTCATCTAAGTTTCAAAGCCAGGTGTTGTATGGTGGTTAGGTGCCTCTGAAGGCTCAGAGCTAGCCTACAGAAAATACTAGATGCAGAACTTGGGTGGAATTTGAGCTACCTCAGTCTAGCCCACTTTGCTAACCCAGTGTCACACCTTAAGTCTTTGACAGTGTGCTTTAAACTCAGGTCCTCCGAATCCTAGACACATACACCAGCCTTTGTCTTGATAAACATATTTCATCACCCATAACTGCCTAGATTGCTTGCCTAGTGCCTTGTCTCTGTGGTACTTTGACCCACTTTTCCTCTGAGAGCACCGAAGGAACAATCCTGAGTTTCCAAAAATAACGCTTGATAGATTGAAAAGAGCGTACTTCATTATTTATTCCTGCTTCACTCTAGCCAAACTCCCAATGACTCCAGTGGAAGTCAGCTTTATAAGAGTGCTTAGCACTGAAGCAAACCTTCAGATTTCGTAAGATATCCATGGAACTGTAATAATGTTCAGTGTAGCAATTGCAACTCACACTGACATATTTTAGAGCTTGGAAATTAAAAGCAACTTAAGATATTCAGACGTTCGGTTCCCGTTAAAATCAGCTCCCCACCCAGTTTTGGAAAACTGAGCAACTGTGGTTCAAAGGATATAAGAGAGAGCCATGAGAGCACTCTAGCAGTTAGGGCCTCAGTGCATTTATCCAGTCTTTAAAGGGAAGCTTCTAAAATTACATCTTGGGAAATGGAATTGGTTCCTTTACTTGTACTGAACAGCACCTACTTCACTGAGTGATGCAGTAGAGGTGTCTGCTGCTGAGACTAAGCAAACAGGACGCAAGGTGCAGCTCTTCATACTTTTCCGTGATGACTTCCCCATAAACTGTGAAAATCTCTAAATTTTGCGTTTATTCTTTTATTTCCCAAGTCATGTTAATTACAGAAAATACCACAGAATTTTTAAATTTGTTTCATTCCCAACATTCACTGTAAATTCAGGCCTGAACTTTGGCTGAGCCTCAGAGGAGCATGGTCAGCTCTCAGAGAGAGCACAGAATAGATTTATCCTGAAAAGTTAAGGTCCCTGCTTACATTTATTGGCATTACCCTTATGGCTGGGAGGGCAAAATTGGGACAAGCCTGTCTCCA